TTCAACAGGGACTTCCTTTCGACGACGCAGCGGGAAACGAATAAAAAAAAAATATATATCGAGCATTCTTCTAACGAAGGAATGCGTGCCTCCTATGGAACGTCTTGAAACGATGTCAATGGAACGATTTCTCGCTGCGTCGTGAAAATGTTGCGTGACGCTCTCCGAACGAAAACCAGACCTCGGCGTTGGGAGGAGTCCACGAAAAATTTGGCACTAATAAATTTCGAAGACCGTCTCGAATTTTTCGATGATAAACGATGATGCGGCGAAAAAGGAAGAGAAAGCCAAGAACACGACGGAACTAATGGGCAGACATTTGTTTCTTTACTTTCATAATTAAGAAGCGAATGTTTTCGCGAAAGTTCGTAAAGGGTTTTGAAGGAACGGTTTACCGATCTTGTCGCGACCGCTCGAGGTGAACATCGAACACGTATATAAAAAGAACAAGTGTGAACACCTGAAAGAAGGCCACGGTATTAAAAGAGAAAAGGAAGTGGTGATCGAAGAGAGTAATAAGTACGGTGTCATACTCATACGTTGCAAAAATAACGGATGTGTAAGTGTACCGTGTGTGCGTACGATGTGTCCTGTGACGGCGTCAACTAGAGAACTTGGTTTCCATCGTGTATCGAAGAGACACGCGTACACGCGTATTAACGTGACTCGTGCGATCGATCAAGCGTACGGTTCGAGTTAAAATTTAATTGCTAGCTGAACTTACAACTGAAAATGGATTCGCGCGTAGGGCCGAGTGAAAGACGGTCCGTTGTGACACAAGAGGAATGTTTGGTTCGTGTTTCCAGTAGAATCGTTTGATCAATCGCGTGAGCCGCCGTACTTCCATTAAAAATTGTAAAAGAGGAAGCTACAGGCACGTTAACACACGCGAAATAGGATCCTCTAGACTGCAAACTGTGGATGAAGGATGAGTCCTTCGGGGGGTATACGTTTTCTCTCGTCAAGGGTACACTCGATACAGGTGAAGAGAAAACGGGGGTAACGGTGAGAGATAATATTATATCGTGACGGGTGACAGATAGATAATACATATACGTAATCGTTGGTGAAAATCGTGAGAGGGTTCGCTACGTAATGGTTCACAAGGTTCCGAAGTATAATATAATAATAGAGAGAATGTAATTGACACACGTTCAACGCAAGTGTGTACGTGTTACGATGCGGGAAAGTAAAGTACCACACTGCAACTAGAGATGTGAGTTTAGTCATCGCGTCGCGATTCCAAGATCAGAATTTCATTAATCACTATTTATGGCTTTCGTATCTTTATAAATCTGGGATCCCGTTTGCTTTTCGAGGGTGTCACGCGATGCACGAATCCTCCTGAATCACCGAACCGATTAAAAACAGCTGATCGAAATTTGTTGGCCTGCGGATAATTAATTCCTACGTTAAAGACGCGTCGACGTCTCGTAAAAATTCACATCTCTGCGCGCAATACCAACAGGACTAAGACCAAATCGAATGGGTTCCATCTATGGAAGCAATCTACGCACAGTATGTACAAAGCCAATGTAAAATATGTAATTGGACTTTGTAAGTCGCGACACGCGGTACGGTGGTATGACCAGGGATAGCTGGATGCAGTTTATAGGAACTAAAAGCTATGGGTCGATAGGAGGACGGGTAAGGGTCGCTACGAAAGCTGGCTAGATATGGAAAAAGGGAAAAACGGATGGGCCAAGTGAAAACTGTACACGCATGGAATTTTGCGAGATTCTTCTGTGCGGTGATTAAAAACGTGGACATCGGAGGAATCGACTATCGATACGGGTCAACTATCTTCTTTCTACCTTCTAAGGGTGCAGTGCAAGCGTGAAAGATATTTTGCGTTACGGTCGAGTGGAACGTGGGCAACTATTCAGTGACATCAGAGAAATCTAAGGGAGGTAGTGAAAGGTGGTGACGGTGTCGACTAGATTTCTAAAGCGAGAGAGCAAAATCGGCCGAGAACTACGGCACGCGCAACGACGTTTATTCGTTTTCTTTTGTCCGTCTCAAACTAAATCCTCGTAACGATCCCAAATGTCTGTCGACGAAAATACGACAATCCCGAGATTTCACGGTGCTGGCCACGATCCACCAAGACGCTGTGCAGTGCGTTTACAAAATGTCGATACGAACATCTACTTAGTTAAAACTGGATCAGAAATGAAACAGCGCCAGAGGGTTCGTGGCCATAGAAAAAGGGACGAGGTCTTCTGAACTGTTCCTTTAGGAACGTATGTACGTGATTACTGCGTGTGATCGTAAGAACGAGAGACTGTAAAGAAACGTGAACGAAGCACCGGAGGATGGAAGAACGAAGGCGTGTGTGTTCTTCTTTCCCTGCGTTTCTCTTCGGTTTTTGTGTGTGTTCGTGCGCTAACGAAGAACCCCGTTTTATATTCTCTGAGATGTAGCGTGGTACTTCTTTGTTCGTTTCCCTCAAGTAGCGTTTCTCTCAACGTGGTTGCACCGGTATGAACCGATTGGTGAGGGTGCGTGGCGTTGCGTGAACCATTACGTTACGAATCCGCGCCATTTGGAGCGGCACGTGCCAAGCCGGCGAGTTCACATAGCCGTTCGCGTAGTTCCAACGATTGTATTCACCACCTGTCGAGAAGCATACGTAGAGTACATCGGACACCTACATATAGTCATCTAATGCGACGGATCGTTTTTCCCCCGCGATCCGTGTCCTCCTCTCGTCCCTCTCGTCCATACTTTCTTCCCTACGGATCGCGAACAATCGGATACGGATACGTGGACGTTCTGCGTCCTCTAAACTCTATCCATTATCTACTCCGACGAATTGACAAACCCATTGACAAAAAAGCCAATCAGCCGAAAAGGAATCGAACGCGTTCTCAAACCGTATTCGCATGACCGTACAAGTTATCTACACGTGTTACACCTTTTACGTTTAATACCTTGATCCCTATCGCAGGTATCACGACCCTTGCATACTAACGTCTTACGTCTATGTTAATTATAAATTTACGTGTATGTATATTATATACGTATATGCGTTCAATTTATGGTAACTAATACAGTCAATTCAGTCAATTAATCAACTTTGAACATGCCGAAGTTTTCGCTTCTCTTTCTGTTTAAAAGCTGGAACCTGTGAAAACCGTGGTGGTATTAATTTGGCAGGCAATTGTTATAAAATGGATTATTTCCGAATGATTCCTGATTTTCGAATAATCTGACACACAATGAGGGGTGATACGTTCGAAAAATAATTGTCAGGAGACTCGTATGCTTTTGAACAACTGTACTGGCTGATAAACGAGACAGATGCGAAAACTTCGAGCGCAACGATATCGAGAGGCTGCACATACGCGTTGCGTAGTCGAAACAACACGCACGCGTACGAGAAACGACTATAAATGAGAAAATGAAAAAGAAGAATAAAAATAGGTGTAAAAAACCAAAATAAGAAGAGATGATCGAAGAAAGTGAGAATGATTAAAATGAACAAATGTAAAAATAGATGAGAATGATACGTGACACGATATGTGTACACTCTGTCGCTAAAAAATTTATCTATACATAATTATACGATGTTAAATTTACACTATACCTTATTTTCTGATTGCAATCTAATTATTGAAGAAACTTTTGAGCAACAGCGTGCACTAAGGCGAGAGGGGTACAAGGTTGTTGATAGATGACAGTGACAGTGAGAAGACAGCGGATTCTTCTGTCAAATATTCGTAAAAGTTTTAAAACAATAAGATGGAGAATATTGTTTCTCTTTTGGTGATCGTTGAATGCAGAAAAATCCGCGATCCAGCGATGAGTTACGATGACACAGACAAAAATGAAGAACAAGACGGAACACAAGTATAGAACAGTGCTCGAAGAGAGACGCGTGCGTGTGTAACATATCGGTGGCAGGGCAGGACTGACGATGCACAAATGCAACACGAGGGACAAGTAAATAATTAAAAACCGGCACAGAAAACTCGTGTACGGATAGATCGAGGACGCGACGATACTCTTCTTCTCTGTTGGGAGTTGATTTTTATGAGGATTTCGCTGCGGAAGAGTCGATCGCCAGGGGAGAGACTATACCTCTGAACCTTCTTCGAGAGAACGTACGAAAAGATATGCAACGAGGAAGGCAGTGAGAAATATAAATAAAAAGAAGGAAGCGTGAGATATCCAGAATGAACGAGGAACTCGAGAAGAAAGCGACGATTCCAGGGGCGGTGGACGTGTATCCGTCAAAGCGTCGACGCGTCCGCGTTCAAATATCAACGATGGGCTCCAAACATGAGTGTTTCTATTTTTTCTTTACGGTAAAAAAAGTTACGGTTCGATCGGTGCGGTGTGTCGACGAGAAATGACTTGCGTCCAGTTGCTGATACTTCAAACTACCGAATCGAGTTGCCCATCGTTTACATAACACGCAACAAACCAAAACGCATTCCAAAATTCCATGCGTCCCTTTCATCCGCCACTGGACAGATATCACTAGTCGACAATGATTCCCTTCAAATAAACAATTTCACCTGTCGACAATTTAAAAATCGTGTCAGATTTCGTTTACCATAAAAATGATGAAAAATCAGAATAACAAATTCTCTGTAGAAAGTGTATACAAATACTTCAAAAAGAATTAGTATTTTTTTTTTCTGATTCAAGTCTACGCATTCTACTTCAGCCGAAAAATTTTGTCGACCAATGATACTTTATGAAACAGTCAAACATCGCAGCTGGAACTCAGCTCCTTGGCTAACAGAACCGCAGCGGACTTCGTCGAATATACTGATCTCTATAGAGCACTGGATAGTGGATATGTGGTAATAATAATCTCAATTGAAATAGCTGTGGTCATCTTTTTTTGGCAAACTTCAAATATCATAGTAACACTCATTATGATAGAAAGTGAAATAAAGAACGAAATTTTTAATTCAGTCAGATATCTTAAGGATATATTGGCTATACAGTCAATCCTAAAAGTTTATGCACTTTAGAAACACATTTTTTAAAAAGTTATGGATCATTTAAGTTTTACGTTTCTCAGCTCTCCGTATAATGAGCCGGAGCTGGATGGAGCTCGAGAGCGATAACGTATAGAGTGATAAAATGGTATGGATGTGACGTGTTTCGTTTCTCACGAGCTATGGGAAATAGGGAGAACCGCAAATATGTATTAGTGAAATCGGTGTCGGTGTATGTCAGAGAGATGGATACCACAGACTATTTCAGACCATACCAATCCACTATCTAGTGTTCTATAAACATCAGAGATCGAACAGCAATGATTCCACGAGTACATTACTGAATAGATTTGCATGCAAGAAGGAACAAATATCCAAAAACTCTGTTTACGACTCGCGCAACTGCCGCGTTTTCTCTAGACTGTTGGAATAGCTCATCGAGCCGTTCGGCTATTACTTATAATCTGGCGTGCGCTATCGAGGATCGTTTTTTCTCTCGGCGACAAACTGCGTTCGGAGGAAACCGCTTTCGAAAAGGAAACTGTTCGATAGAGCGTTTCGCAGAGTTCGTCGTCGATCTACCGCAATGTTTAAAAACGAACGGCGTCTAAATTAAACGTATGCCTCGCCATCGTGATCGGCACTCAGCCAGTTGCCTGCGAATTTCGTATCTTATTTCCTTTCAATCCGGGAACGACACAGTCCACACCGTCGAATTATAATTCTATCTATGTTTTATTAGCGTATTTATTCTTATACTTTGATTTTCCTTTAGCAACCGAAGGTCACAGTCGCTGCCGCCTTTTCTCAACGAGTCCAGAGACAATTAGAAAACTATGCCGTTCCAGGATTAATTATAGTTCTCGATACGTAATTAATTTCTTCGTATAATCTTCACTGCCCTCTACGATAGTAACAATTAACCTTTCGTTTCTTCTTTTAATCAATTAAATGTAGCGATAATAGCGTAACAATGATTAATGGAATAGCGATTGATGGTCACGGTGGTGATTAACGACTTCGTTCAACGATAACTATGATTATCAACGATCGCCCTTCGGTCGGTTGGACGATATACTTCTTCGAAACATTCGTGTTTCGCGAAACGTTCTTATGCCCATCCGATAATCCGATTATTTTATGTACACCCTCCCGTTTCTCGCGTTTCTCATCTCGCGACGAATCACAGAACGATTCAGATTATCTAAGCTCGGCTTCCCCGCCACCACTGTTTATCCTCCAACATCTTTTTCCTCATTCAAACGACTGAGTAATTCGATTGCGGACATTCACGCGTTCATGGACAATTTCGATGCAGAAAAATACACCAAGTATCCAATGTACGTGAATATATATCGCGACACACAGAGGGTGAAACAAATTTGTACACAGATATTCCGTTGAATCTATAAAATTATGAATTTATCGTAGACATTCGCAGCTTAATTGTAGTGGTGCGAGTAAAAATTTCAAGAGATTCGGTTAATCGTGTTCTCGTTGCAACGAACACGGCTCCCCTCCGTGTTTCCCCTCTCACGCGAAAACGTTTAGAAGTGCACTAGCCTTGCTTCCGTCAACAATAAACGTCTTCCTACTAATTAAAATATTATTGCTTTCGAGTTCGTCTCGGAACGAATTGAAAAAAATAAATAAATAACTCAGTACACAGGCCGATTAATTGAAAATCAATTAATTTTGTTAAAAAACCGCGTAGACGTAACCCACACGAGTTCTTTTTTTTTTTTTACATACGAGTCGAGTGGAATATTTAATCGCGAACGAGATGAGCAAAGATATTATTTTTACGTAGTCGCCTTACGCTCGACGTAACGTTACGCGTTAAGCCGGCATGCAACACTCTTTTTCTCCAACGAGTTCCGTCATATATTATTTATTGATCGTTCAACGTAAATTTAGCATCGGCCGATCCGGCTACTCTCGTCCGTATTACTCGCGTGTACTGGGAATATCGAGCTCGCTAATAAGCTAACGAGATATCTCGTTACACGTGTACTCGTTGAACAAAATTTCGTCTATCGACGTTTCCGTTCATTATCCGAAAAGAATATATCCACGCGTTTAAAACAGACTCATCGAAATCAATGGAATTCTCAGTTGCCTGCCTCTTCTATCGGAGTTCGTTTCGTTCAGTCACGTATATCCATCTCCTAATCGTAAGCGCGACTCTTATTATACGACGGAACACATACAATTAAACGACGATTGATGCTCAAGGTCCGCCCGATATTTTTAAACGTTGAACGACGTAAGCGAGCACTTTCATCGACGCGACGTTATTATAATTGACATCAAAAGAGAATTTCAACGACCGTAACCTTCGTCACGAAGGCCGGCCTTGGCCCTTGCACCGTTTACCGATAAACCTTCATCGAGCTAGACACTGCGAGATCTTCGTTTCGCGAAAGAAACTTGAACGGGAGACGCGTTTCAATTTTTATTAACTTTAAGATAATGGAGACGTTAATCGACCAGTCACGGAATCTTTGCGCGTTTTTCCTTCAATATAATCATTCGCGTGAATCGCAATTCGATATACAATAATATACGTATCAACGAAATTACGCGATAAACATCTTTTATAAGTATCTACGTTGAGCAACTTGTCCTCCGTCCTAAAACGAGACACAAACTAAACTACCGATCGAAGATTCGATTTCGGAACAAAAACTGACCAATTCCACCGGTTCCGATCCTTCCCTTTGCCCTTTCTCTTTAACGATGCTTTCGTTATCCAACAATGATTGTCGTTCTTTCGTATGCTTTTTTCAGCATCGTCGACACCGCGTCTCTTTTATACCTCGTTCCCCTTCATCCAAACTACGTCCGTTCCCCACGAGAATTCTTACGAACGGAAATAAAATCCGCGCCGCGACGATCCCAATTAACTCCTCGACAACCGTACACAATCGTTCATACGTACGCAGTATCATACATTGCCCACTTAATTCGTTCGATGAGTTACAAGTTCGAGAATATCTCGAAACAGGCTGATCACCGTAATTTATAACACGACGCGATGCTACGAAACTGCATCGAGGAGTTAATCGGGACGAGTTAACACGTATCATCCTTCGCTGACTCTTACCGTATATCGTATTATTTCCTAGACTAATTAATTATCGTTAATAGGTTTAGCTTCATCTCACCTGTGTTTCCGAACACACGGCAGGACGCGATTAAGTACATACGATGGAATTAAAAATTCTGCTTCATCTTTCAATCTCTTCTTATGAATCTCGGAAAAAAGCTCCCACGCGGTAACGACGATATATCGTATCAAATTAAATTGAATTTCTAAAACGTGTAACAAACGTACTAATTACTCTTACACTGCGATAGGTTTAGACTAGATTGTTTGCACGATATTTTTGATCTCACGTTAACGACCGATATCGATCCAGATCACCTAGTCGATAATTCCTTTCGCACAGGCATCGTTCGATTCTCGGTTTGTTCGTCATCGAGACGAACTCGTCCCTCCTTTACTTTAGACTATAATGACTAGAATGTTTGCGCGATATCTTCTATAATCAAACCGAACACTTCTCTATTAATTCCTTTCGCACAGATCCTCGGTTTCTTCGTCGTCAAGACGTATTCTCCATTCAATTCCTTCCTCCTTTAGACTAGATTGTTTTGCACGTAATAACTTCTGGTCTCTCGTCACCGACCGAGATCGATCCAGATCATTTTATAATTCCCGTCACACTCCCGTTGCGTTTCGTCATCACGACGTTGTTCCTTCTCGTCATGACCCAAAACGCAACAAGACATCGAGAACGACGCAGGAGAATTAGATCTCTTAACGGTGATCCCGTCAACGATGTTGTCGTCGATTGTGTTGTTCGTTCTTCGCCTCCGAATAATCGTCATCGTCGACGTCATCGTCGTCGATATCGGCGCTAGGACGATCGGAGGCGAGCAAAGGCGGCGGGATGGTGGCCACATCGAAGCTAGAATCGGTGCTCGAAACAACTTGGTTGTCTTTCGCCTCGAGATCGACCACCACTCGGTGCCGCCTCTTCAGGTTCTCCCGCCGTCTTCTGCGTACTGCGACTTGGGAACCGTGAATCGGCGTGTGAACAGGACTGTCCATGCTCGAGGAAGTGTCGCCTTCGCTCTGTGGACTCCTGGTTGACGAGTAAGGCATCGTTTTCGTTCGAATCTGCGTCCTGATCGGCATGGGCGGACTAGATGTGGTCGACTCGCCGCTGAGACTCGTTGTCGAGTAATATGGCGTGGATTTTGCTCGGATGGGAACCAGTACTGGCCTCTCGGTCGACCTCGTTTCGTACCTGCCTGAATCTGTTGGCTCCGAGAAACCCCGATCAAATTTCGAAGACCTGCTCGACTTTTTCCCCTTCTGTGCGCTCTCCTCCTCGAACGACCAGTCGTCGTCTCCTGGACGCGGACCCAGAGCTAAATCCGCATACTTTTCGTGCATATCCTCCGAACTGTCTCCGCGGCCGACTTCCATCCTTATCTGATCACCACTGGAATACTTCATCGCAGGGACGTTGTCGTAAAGACGATCCTCTTCTTCCGCTTCACGCAACGCCACATCGTGCTCCAGTTCTTCTTCCTCCTCGAGAATCGGTAGCGGCGCATCACCGTCGTCGGACATCAGTCTGAACTCGTCGTCGATCGCCTCGTCGAACTCATTCCGCAGAGTTATCCGAGGTGGGGAAATGCCCCCGTACGACCTCGCCTCCGGTTGCCGATCTTCGTCATCACGTCGCAACGACAGCCGACGCTGTTCATCGAACTGACTCTCGATAAATCTTCTGGCTTCGTCCAGTTGCTCTTCCCTGGAGCTCCTTCCAGTGGGTGATCGTTCCCGTGAAACGTCTTCTTCGTATCGTCGAGAAGATAGTCTCCGTTGTTCGTCGAATTGGCTTTCGATAAATCTTCTAGCTTCGTCCAGCTGCTCGTCTCTGGAACTCCTCCTTCCCGTTGGAGATCGCGGAAGATCTTCGTCGTCGAACGGGGAACGCCTGTCCATGGGCGCCGTAGGTGGAGGCGTGAGAGGAGGCGAAATAGGAGGCGGTGGCAGCGGTGGCGATGGTGAAGTCACCGGGGATCCATCCGTAGATTTCTTGCACTTGGAATTCGGCCTCATACTGGTCACGCTCTTGTCCGAGGTCGTCGTGTCGCTTTGGCTCTTCTCCACGGTCATCGGCGAATAATGCTGCTGCGGTATCACAGTCGTGCTGCCGGACCAATCAGAAATTGAAGCACCTAACTCTGCCAGGGAATTGTCATCGGACTTGGTACCGGAATATTGACAGAACTGCCGGACTGTGTTGTTCGAGCTGGACCATTCGGACATCGACAGACCCATCGAGGTGTCTTCGCTATGAGACGATCCGGTCACGTGTGAATTCGATTTCGGTTTCACAACTATCTTCACGGTGCCGTCGACGGTGGTTGCAGAGGTAGAACTGTGTCCGTCTTCGAGAAGTGTGGAGTGAAGGTCGTCATGCAGGGTTCGATTCTCGTCGCTGGAGTCGCTGTCTTGATCCACTTTACCTGGTGTTTCTGTGCTATCTGTCACAGTTACTTTCACAGCCTCCTCTCGCCTGATCTCCGAATAAACTGTCTCCACGTGTCTGACAACGTGAGACTCGAACACTGGCGAGCTAGGAGGCGAAGGCCACTCCTCCGAACCTTGTTCTTGGAGTTTCGCCTTGATCGATTTAGGAGACCTTTCCTCTTCTTGAACGGTGGACATCATGTCTATAGGAATATCGGGTAACTCGGACGACGTCCGCCGGTCATCGGAAATGGAAGGAAGCGGCGTACCGGACGGTGGATCGGACGATAATGAGAGTTGATGGTCGCTGGATATCAACGACTCGTCGTCTAAACTCGGAGACCTCGAGCTGGGCTTGAACGAATCTTCTAAATCGCTCTTGTCCTGTTCCGACGTGGTAGACCTCTCAGATATCCTCGACAGGGTCCTGGTCAGAGCGAAGGTTCCGCAACTGGTCAGTATATCAGGCCCGATGGGAACAAAACTTCTAGGATAATCGATCAGATCTTCCTGGAAGCTATCTTCGTTCTGTCCATTGCTATCTTCGGATTGAGATTGGACCGCGTTGTTGTCGTCCTGACCCGGCCATCCATCTTCGATACTAGAGCTTCCGGAGCTTTCCAACGGGAAAGATTTCCAAGTAGAACTCATTTCGGGCCTGTGTCCCGGTTGGGAACCGCTACTATTTTCATCTTCCAAAGAACCCGTGCCGCGCGCTTCTTTTATCATCGCGATCTCTCGACGATCCACTATAGGCTGAATTTGACCGATACCCAAGGGACGAGCTATGGAACAGGAACTAGACTCGGGATCCTCGCGGTCCGGCGTCCAGGTGCTGGTCTCCTCGCTCCTGGATCGTTCGCTGCTCAAACGAAGCATCTTTTCAATAGACAAGCGACTCGCTGAACTCGTTCCATCATCGCCAGGTGAACCTTTCGTGGTTTCCTTCGTAAGTCCGTCATCCTCGTCTTTCGGTAGTTCCTCTGCTCCTTCTTCATCTTCTCTTCTCATCTCCAAATACTCTGGCGTCAGCTCAACTTCGACCAAGGTCTTCTCGTCCATCTTATCAACTCCATAATCCGGTGAACTCAATTCACTGTCGATACCACGCATGTGTACCTGTGTATCCAAAGCGTCCAACGTGTCCTCGCTCGTATCAGCGGAATCTAATGGCCGATTATCCTCGCCCTCGTGTTCCTGCGGCCCCTGATCGACGTCTTCTTGATCCTCCTCGCTGGGAACCATCTCTTCCTCTTCATCTTCGCCGTCGGCGTCGTCGTCAGAGCATTCTTCAATAGAAATTTGAATCGGAGATTTGATCATGTCCTGATCATCGAAGTCGATCGATCTCGGAGATAGCACTCTCGTTTCCTTGTCCTCTCGCGTAGGTACCTTGGTAATCGTGACATCTGGAAGATCATCTCTCTCCTGTCTCTTCTCGACAATTGAATCGTCCTGCTGCAATGATATTCGCGGTTCCGTTTCTTCTACTTCAGCAGATTCCGCGCGAATCTCAACTTCGCACGGCTTCATTATAGGCTCGCTGGGAGTGACTACGGTGGTTGGTATCCTTTCTTTAGTCGGTGACATAGTCTCGACCGTGACGGTCGATCTTGGAATCACGGATCCCTCAATAGTTTTCGATACGCTCAATAGATCGATTTTCTCCGCTCTGACGACTTTGTCGAAACCGATTTCTTGATCACCAGACTCTACCGAGCTCTGATCGATGAATTTCGTTTTTTCATCCCTCTTCAACGCGTCCAGCATCGTCTTCGGTTCCACGCCGTTCACTGCATCCAACCTGGGCGCGTCCCTCTCGTAAGGAATCAGCTCCGCACTCGCCGTGATCTCGTTGCACTCGGTTAACGGCGATTCCAAATACTGAGCGGAGGTCTCCGTGACCGATAACGAATCCGTAAATATTTCTGGCACGGTGGTATGATCGGTGCTATCGGATCTGTGGTTAGGCGAAGCTTCTATCTGTATCGATTGCGGTTTCACTGGAACCAAGAAAGCGCTAGGACCTACTTCCAAAGCCACGGCTTCTTTTTCACGAGCCTCTTGTTCTTCAGCGGTCTCCGATACGTCAACGGTGTCATCCTTGCTTGAGAAAGCATTCGCCGGTGGGAGTTTGTGCACTGCTATAACAGGCGCGTCCAATGATTTTGCTCGCCTCTGAGATGTAGGAGACTGCGTTGCACCTTGCCTTTGTAACGCGCCGATTCCACTTCCTTCTGAGAGACCTAAGCGCGCGCGAGCAAAGAGCACTGGTGACGGTCCAGCCATCGGTTTCTTGTCCGTCATCGGAGACTGTGCCAAATCTTGAGGAAGGGAGCTTCTCTTCTCCGACAGACGTTCTTCCGTTGCTTTTGCATCGCTAATTTCACGCGTGATCATTTTTTCCAATGACTGCTTCTCAGTCTCTGTTTCCATTTTCGATTCGACGCCCGTGCGAGATGCTTTGGCCGCTTCCTGTACTTTGGGCACTAGTTCCTTCAACGACGTCGGCGACCTCAGCTCGGATTTCGATCCAGATTTCACGACGGTCCTCTTCGGCGATATCTTCTCTGCGGAGTCCTTTCGCTCGGTGCTGCCTAAGCTCTTCGAAATACCCAAGGACTTTGGTCTTGATTTCTCAGACTTCGCGGCAAGTTTGATCAGCTCTTCGTCGACCGAGGCAGACTTCGCTCTTCCCTTGGTCTCTTTACTCTCTTCCTCTTTCGAAGCAGAGTACGCTTTTTCGGGTAAACGAGTCACAGACTTGGATCTGCCCTTCTGTACGATGCTCACTTCTGGTGCGACATCCGTCGAGTCAATGATGATGATCTCTTGTGGCATCTCGCCAAGTTTCAATTTGGATTTGTCTATCTTCGAACTAGGAGTTGGTGCCCGGGACTCCTTCGATGACGTCTTCTTCAACGGTGGTGGTTTGTCTCCCTCCAAAGATTTGGATTGTTTTTTGAAATCTTTTTTCGGCTCCGGCTTAGCTTTCTTCGCTCTTTTCGGTGACACGTCCGGAACAAAGTGTTTGTTCTCCATCTCTGGTGACAGCAGCGTGTCGATAGGTGCTTTCTCTTCGGCCAGAGACAGCGACTTCGAGCGAAGAGGTTCGCCGTGAGGCCTCGACATGAAAGGAACGAATTCTGGAACTTTCAAACTGTCCAACTCCAATGCCGGTTTCACTGGAATCTCGTCCAAGGGCAGGTCAGCGACTGGCTCCACGAAATCGTCGAATCCGGTGTCGATGATTTTTGGTTTCGTGACCTTCGCTTCGGAGAATTTCATCTCAATCTTCTCCAAGATACGTTTCGTCTTCTCTGGTATGCTGGGTTTTTCCAGAGTCTTCGGTTTTTCAGGAACTTTGGGTTTCTCCCTTGTCGTCGAAATTTCCTTCGCTACTTCTTGCTCCTGTTTTTGTTCCACAACCACGGTTTCGGATAGCTTTCGAGGAGAATCATCCACAAGTTCCTCCGTGGACGCGAACGGTTTAGGAATTTCCGGTAAAGGAATCTTCTCGATGCTATCCTGCTTTTCTAAACCATCATCTGGCGCTTTGAGACTATCTTTCTCCACACTCTCGGACTTAGCTTTCCGTTCTAACTTCTGCTTCATCTCCATTCCGACCACATCGGCGAAATTCATTGGCTTTGTCTTCGACTCCAGGGATCTCTGACTCTTCGGCTCTGATGGTGATTTCTTCTTTTGTATCACGGAGACGATCGTCACGCTCGGGTCTGTTGGTGACAATTTCGGCGATCTTTTCTCGATCGACGAGACGATGGTGACGTTCGGTTCGACCGGTGACAACTTCGGTGACAGCTTCTTATCTAAACTGGACTTCTTGTCCAAGGAACCGGACTTGAGAGATTTCTTGTCGGGCGACGGTGCTTTCGAACTCACCTTGGATGGACTTCTGTTTGTTGGTGAAAAACTGGAAACCACGTTCTTCGCATCGGTCGGTGACAACTTTGAAGTAGGACTCAGTATGCTTTTCGGCTTGCTGTCGGACGGGCTCGAGAGAATGGACTTGGGCTTCGCAGGTATGATCGTAGCGCTCTTTGGTTTATCCGGTGATAGCTTGCTGCTGGGTTTGTCTATCGACGAAAGTTTCGAAAGATCGAATGACGCGATGTCCGTGATCATCTTCAAAGGCAACTTAGGAAGATCCCTAGCAACCGTCGTAGCCGTCTTCTTCGAAACAGTCTTACTGCTGTCGGACTCAGACTTCTCGTCAGAGGCGGTTCCGTTCATAACGTGTCGCTTGTGTAACGTATATGGTATTTCGATATTCGTCTTTTGCATGGCCGCGCTGTCCGATAACGCGTCCTCGTCCCCAGAATCGGCCGGCGTCAAATCGATCGATTTCTGATGCATCAATATGTGTCGTTTACTATTCGAACCTAATCTTTGTCGCGCAGGATTAGGATCGCTCTTCGTCCGTTCCACGGGCGTGTGACCTGGTATGGTGTCGTCGAAGCCCAAGACGACTCCTCCGACGATCTTGGGCTCGTACTCCGTGAACATCGTTTTCGTCTTGTAATTTTCTAACTCCATGGGCACTCCGATCACAGTGTCTGTTCTCGATTCTATCGACAGTTTTGTTTGACGTTCGCGCTCGCGTTTCTCCTCGTCTTTTCGTGCTTTTTCTAAACTCCTCCAATCATCCCTCTCGCGTGGCTTATCTTCCGATTTCCCCCTTTCCGTTCGTTTCTCCTTTTTCTTCGGTTCCTTGTACTCGATCTTCTCTACACTGCTCTTTCCCCACTCGAAGACATCTGGATCGCTGTACTCGAGGCTTCCATCTCCTCTCGACTCGTATCTGTCCAAGTATTTTCGATCTCGCAAATCCAGTCGATCCGTGTGCCTTCTCTCGGACTTCCTCTCCGACTTCCTATCGTATCCCTTCTCCTTTGGTACGCTGTTATATCTTTCCAACGATTTCAGCCGCTCGATAGTGAGAGGATCGAAATCGAAGGTAGGTCTTTCCTGCGAGTCCAATCTCTCAACGCTCTTCCCACGGTGTTCTCTCGCAGGAATCTTTTCGAACGGACTTCTGTTTCCCGAATCGAAGCGCTCCAATGTGTGCCTTTGATTGTAATCCATCGTGCTACTTCGTCCACCGGGACTTCTCTTCTTCTCTCTCGAGTCCAGCCGCTCCATGCTTCTTTCCCGACGTTCCGCGTGCCGATGATTGCCAGATTTCTCCTTCGGACTTCTGTTCAGGTACTCCGTGCTGCTGCGAAGTCCTTGCGAGTCCAAACGGTCTACACTCTTCCCGCGCATTTCGTACGGGTCCCGGGAACGGGACGAGCTCTCCTTGTCCAGCCTCTCATAACTTCTTTCCCTTACCTCCAATCTCTCGATGCTTCTTCGCAATTCCCTGCTGTCTATTCGCTCAATGCTTCGTCGACTTCGCGAATCCAACCGCTCGATCGACCGACGCTCCCTCGCTTCGCTCTTCTCTGTTCTCTTGTACTCCCTCGAATGATCTCTTTCAATGCGCTTTCTCTCTTCCCGATCCATGCTCCTACGTTCCTTGTCTTGTAACTTCGCCAACATTTTCTCCAGTTTCGCATCGTTATCCCTACTCGATTTCCTACCTGATGAGCTAACGGCTTTGTGACTCCGACCTAAGCTACCAGTCTCTACGTACGCGCGCGATATATGATCATCCAAGCTAGCTATACTTCGCGCCCTAATCGTTCTCGCCCTCTGATCCGCGATCGATTTGCCGGTGGAATCGACGGGACTGAGATCGTCGTCTATCCGCGACTTCGGACGCATTATACCCTCGTCCCGCAAAACTTCCGAGTCAACGTGACTGATCTTATATTTCGGTCTGAAATTCTTCAACTCGTTGAGCATGGACATCTTTTGTTTTTGCACTTGCAACACTACCGGGTCCTTCCTACCTGAATCCTGATGGGGGAGAGAAAGTTTGCTCTGTTGTTGCGGTTGCTGTGCTTGTTGTTGAACTTGTTGCTTCTGTTGCGGCACTTCTATAGAATTAGAATGTCGCGTCTCAAACCTTCGTTCGATCTGCGTACTACTACGTTGTATCCGAGACTCAACGGTGATGTAATCACTGACACCAGTGAGTTCCGGTTTCGCGGGCGTGGCTGAGTACCGATCGATCGACTTTGTCCTAGCGTTCTTCAGATCCGCGAGCACAGATTTGAACTGGTGCTTGTCCGACGACTTGATCGACCGGTGCTTGACGAAGGAATCGGTCTCCGAGTCCATTTGGAACATCTCGTGCTCGATTCCTTCATCGCTACGGTCAGTCATTTGTTCGTTCTCGTCTTCCTCGTCGTCGCGCGGACTCGAATATGATTCCGGATATTCAAATTCGTGCTCGCGTTCCAACAGTTCGTACGAGTCGTGCGAGAGATCATCGTGCGATAGATCTCCCGCCGGGCCGGACTCCTCGTGGCCGGATTCGGTGGACAACGACGACGTGCCCGGATAGGAGCTGCTATAAACGCGCTCGGGCACAGAGTCGTGATCGAGGGAGGGTAGCTTCGAACTCGCCGCGCTGTACGAACGATTGCTCTCGTCGTAGCGCGTTACGGGGTTGTCTAGCTCACCCTGGGATGGTAAACGGAACGGTTCCAATATAGGATCATCGGAGGAGGAAGGTTTCTCGTCTTTCGATCGCGTTTTCCCTGAATCCTCGAAGCTAGAGGCGTATAGTTCGCGGCAACTGGCCGATCGCTGCCAGGGATGTCTGGGCATGGGTCGCGGTGGTGGGAATTCAGGGGGACTGCTGTTAGAGGGGCTGATACGACCTGCTGATGAAATCCGCTGCTGGCTGACAGCAAGCATCGGCCGCGGTGCTGGGACCTGGCTGGGTGTGGCCGGCGAATGGACGTCGATGGAGGTAAGAGTCCGAAACGATGTAGCTGTATCTTCGCGACGGTGAATCGTCCCTCCCATCGAGACACTCGTCACAGTCGTCGGAGAATCCAGTGTCATCGAGCCGCATGATAGAGACAGAGCTGGGGTTTCCAGGGCTGAAATTATTGCTTCGCTTAACTTTCCCCGTCCACTCTCTTCCTCTCTCATCTTGTTTCCACTTTCACTCTTTTAAACCTCTTTCTCTCTCTCTCTTCCTCTTCTTCTCGCATTTATGTCTCAATTTTAAACCAGTTTAAAAAAAAACTCCGAGATTTTCGATTTCCGATAAACTATTCAAAATCCTTTGAGCTATGGAACGAGGGATATTCATTTATTCATTTATTTGGAGGGTGACAAAAAGCCCTTTAATTACAAAAATTGCTTTACACATTCATACACTGATACCACAGATTTACGATCCATAGTATGGATCTTAAATCTATGCTAATATACTCCGCAGTATCTCTCGCTAAGAGACAAATGCTCTTCCCTCTTTATTGCGGAAACGCAAAACAAGCCGATATTAGCTCAGACAATCGTTTTTAAAAGCTTTCTCTATTGGCAATACGCTAAATTTCTACTCTCTACTTTTTACAAATAATACTTTATGTACGACACTTGGAAATAAAAAGATAAACGCTAGAGAACGAAATAAAAGTGAATAAGGGAAACGTAAGTAATCGATAGGAACGAGAATACAAACGAAGGAGGTGATAAATTAGGGAAATGAAATGAACAGATAAAAGAAAGAGAAACGTAAACATGAGGTGAAGAGCGGGGGTCTTAAAAAGAAAGCGTTTCTCGTGGAGGTTGGTATCGGTCATGGTACATACCAGGATCGCCGAGGGGCAGGAGGGGGTGGGCAGAGATGCTGGAGCTGCCCATAAGGGAGCTGCTTGGAGTGGCCCCACGATAGCCTCCCCCCTCCAAGCCCTGCAATGCCCTACCACCGCTAGTCTGCCGGAACGAATTGGACCTGTGAGCAAGAGAGAGTCAAGTTCAGCATCAGACTTAGGCTATTCAAACTGCCAAGCCTGTCCAAGAACTAACTTATGTGTCTTTTTTCCTCTTTTTTTTTTAATCTGTATATTCTTCCCTTCTACCATTCCTCCCGTAGAATGGTAGTTCTTCCGTTCTCGCGCTTAACTCGAATTAATCGTTATCGTTTCAAGGGTTTTCTCCTCAATTCCGCGCACCTTTCTTTTTCTCTCTCTCTTTCTCTGTCATTCGATTTCATATTTTATAGAGAATTATAAGAAACACGTATTTGTATACTGCTCGCGGTTTACAATTGGGTAAGTATATAAAGCCAATATTGAAATAATGCCCTCAAAACGATAAAAAGATCACATTAAGTTTACCATAAGTCGGATATGAATTAGAATAACGATAAAAATAATATCGAGACGCAATTGTACAGAAAATTATCTCATGTATAAAAAGTACCATGTAATCCTTTAAAGATATATCCTCCACCACACCCTAAAGATTATTTATCTGCCTTCTCTACAGTATTCCCTTACAGCTCTCCAAGTTAATCGCAACTGAACACGTAACTATGTTATCTAGCAAATTTTTTATATAGCTTACTAAGCTCTCACGTGATTACTACACGTAAATGATTATAGTGCGCGTGTTTGTCATCTTCGCATGCCTCGCGCATACGAAGACTATCTTTCGACAAAAACAAAAGATGTGCAATACAGAAACTGTGATGGAATCTATGAGTTGATGAATCGCGATGCCTTTCTCCCTCTAACAGCGGATCATAATTATACATTTATCCCATTGAACTTTATTGCATGTTAGATAAAGTAAATCGTGTACGCCTGGTGTTAACTGTATATACAAGGATGAAAAATTATTATAAACAACGTAATTTCTATTCTCTATTGTAGAATAGGCTACTGCTATTGGATAAGTAATATATATATATTATATATATATATATATATATGTCTGATTTGGTAGTAATTAAGATCGGGACAGTGAAATATACGGTAACTTTGCAGTGTATAATAACCATTAGGTGTTAAACAACGATGAGAATTAGTGAGACCACACTATCAAAAAGAGGGTACATTGATCATTCGGGTTATCGTGCCTGATGGTGAGCCTGACTCCCCGCCACCCCTTGTCCAAGCAGGCAACACTGACACACGTAAGGTACAAAACGAACATAGTAATATAAGAAAAAAAAAGAACACTTCCATTCTACTTTTAAAATTGGACCAACAAGTGAATATAGAGTATGATATAATACCAATTAATGTCCCGGCAAAAGCAAGACCGTGCCACCTCCCGTGTTACCCACGCAAAGAGATCAGTGCGCTCGTTAATTAAAATATATCTCAATGTTATAAAACCAGCGTTAAAGGGGGGATAGTACATAACGGTACGCATGCACTACCTACGACATTACTGGTACATATATGTATATATACATACATACATACATATGTATATATAGAACCAAGAGTTCGTACAATTCATCAAACGAAATATCATGAACGCTAAAGAACCTACCTTTGAAACGTCTGCCTCTTCACGTAATTGTCCCGTACGAATTCTACGATTTGCTTCTGTGTCTTTCCGCTGTACCTGATGTAACAGAAGAAAAAATAAAAGCTTTATCAAATCCAAGATATCATGTACATGTTTCTTTTTTAGTCAACGAATATGCGTACCTGAACGAAGAGCCGCGACTGAGAACTCGCGTTTTCTGTCGCACTACTCGTTTCACTACCGAGCAACGGAAGAATCCGTGGTTCTCTACGCATTTCTTCCAGAAATTTTTACACTCGTTGCGGCCCTCGAAAAAGAATTCCACAGTATCCTTGTAATAACCCTGCAACGATCAATCCTCAAATCCGATCCATCCGTCGGAAACACGTGCCAATTGCGGTAAACGCGATATATAACACACTTACGTAACCCTCCGGATGAAGCTTGATTAAAAATCGTTTTCTTTTGAAGCTGATTTTCCTGATCTTTGCCCAGCTAAACGTGTTGATCTTGGAGTAATTTTGAAAGACTACTATCCCCATATGGGCCACTGCCAAGTTCAGTGGCACGCCCTCGTGATCCTTCGATAACAAGTCACAAGAAAAAAACGCAATAAAGAATTCGTTCGATCAAAGCTTCAAGTAAGAAATTCAAAATATCATGACACACTCACTTTCGCTGGATGCATTTTCATTCCGTAAAGTTCACAGCGTCGCGCCGTTTCCAACAAATTTAAATCCGCTTCCGCTGGCGACTGACCTCTGTTTGAAAATTGATTACGTTATGAAACAAATCCGATTGTCGATTTTTCGTAAAAAGTTAATCGAATGAACATCTTACGCGTGTTTTTTATGATTCTCCATAATGCGACGCTCTAATTCTTGATCTTGGTGAGGCACAAATTTGTAAGTCGACAGATACGTATGATCAGGATAATCTTCTATCACATAATCTCCACACTCGGCTAGAATAATTAATCACATGCGTTAATCACTAACGTTCCATTAGATTCTTTCGCCGCACAATTGAACATCGATATTACCCTGAACGATATAGCTGGCCATCAGAGCTGCCGTGTTATCATTGCACTGTAATAAACCTTGAGCTAAGTCCCGTTTGATTTGAAGGCAAAATAAATATCTCGTGAACTCTTCTTCCAATTGCGCTGGATCGGGTGTATAAAATTTAACGCAGAATCTCAACAGAGGATCTATTAACGATAATCCGACCTGTCTGCAGACTGGCTTTTCTAAATCTAACCAGTACTGCGAAAATCATAAATGACATCGATAATCGTAACTATAGTTGTACTTTTCATCGTCTTAGATTGATTCACTTTTCTTACTTTCGTTCCATTAGGTTCTTGATATTCCAAACCAAAATAATCAGCTTCCAAAAGATGTAGTTGTTTACAGACTTGATCAAATAACACTCTACCTAAAGCCTTCGCCTAAAATTCAAACCAAAGTTGTAAACTAATCGAATGATCTTGATAGACTTTAGAAACTTATATATTATGTAATTTCCACTTAGAGCCATTGCATGTTAAATCTTTCCTAAGATAAGGGAGCATATCAGATGCTCCGTATAAGTTTTATGAATAATCAATACATCAATACATCCACCTCATGCAATATAGTATCACCAATTATGTGCTCCAGTTGTTCATTTAAGACTATCATATGCTCATACGATATACAATAAACAATCTTTTATTACGGAATAGGTGGATTAACGAATACCACTGAACTAATAAAATTAATTCACTTCTATTTCTCAAGTAAAAAATGGACATATTACAACACTGATACTGATATTTTTAAGTATTTAGGTATTTTCCTTAATCATAGAAAAATGAATTTTGAATAATGCCTCAAGCTTGTACTGCTGCTGATAAATATTCTATCACAGAAATTACCTGAACTTGAAACATTGTAATGGTATCATCCAACATCTGTACACGAACAGCTAGCATTTTTCCAGCTTTTCTAGGTGTCGTAGGAGGAGTTCTACTGCCTCCATCAACACCTGCTGGAGTCGAATGACTATGAGGCATCTTAGATCCTCCGCTACCCTTCATGCTTATGCTTTCTATATCATTCATCTTTAGTCATCTACTATAAAACTGTAGAATGACCGCCTATTATCTTGTTCTTTAGCGGAAAATTTGATTTATAGTTCCCTATTACATTGTCATCTGTAACAAAACATTAAATACACCCCTAAACACACCCGTTTTAATGAAACAATTTAAACGTATTTAAATTCGTCACACTATTTATTGTTGAAACATGCAAAGGTTAAGCAGGAAGCTTTCTCGCAAAATTGCACAAAATGTTTTTGTCCATTTTTCTGGAGCACGAACCGCGTTTTCGTTGCACCACGAAGGTCTTGTCAACATTTAATTGTCGCGAAATTCATTCGAAATTATGAGGAATTTTGTAACGGTACCACTTGCGACGAGAAAGACCGTATCCGCGAACACTCAGCTACGAAGATTAAGAATTGACATAACGAATCGTACTTAATCGAGATTTGCGTTGTATAATTATTAAAGAACGAATAGCCAATTACTTACGCTTGTTTACATCACTCATACCGATATTATTATTACGTGCAACGCGTTAACTAATCATTCGAGGTCCACTCCGGAGTGTTTTAACGAGAAGGCTTGACGATGTTACGTCAAGACCATGATTATACCGATTACACTCACTGCTAACCGAACGGTGCTAATGGAATATGTTAAGAGATTAACTGCGGTCGAAAGGGTTGTAAAGTGTTGATTTGTGGATCAATTGACGATCTTCAGATTCGAACGGATAGCGATACGTCGATCTATACCGTCCAACAGTATCACTCAAAGAAAGAAATAAAGTCTACGAGTCCTCTCGAAGGAAACGTTACAGATCGAAGATTCATGGTGTGGCATCTTATTGTTAGACCCGGTGCACACGAGTAACTCTTTCACGGATGATTGCAAACATGTTTTTCTTCTTTGTTCTTCGGTCGCAGATAAAAGAGGTGAAACGTATACTCACGATATTGCGTTAATAAATCGGTCGTGTGCATCGAGGCTTGAGTAGAAGAAATGAACGCTAAGGTTTGGGTGGAAAAAGGCGGGGCCTAGAATCTTTAAAGGGACCGTATCAATTTCAAGTCGTTCCGCGACCTAATAGAAAATATGGAAATTCTTTTTTTCGTACATACATCTGCCGGTTTAATAAAACGCAGTGGCAGCACGGGCCAGCATACAGCAACGCAGAGTTCATTGATCACTGAATAGGAATAGAAGAACACTTATGCACCGGCACTCCCGTTGCGGGATCGTCTTCGCGATCTACTACTCGTAACGTTAATAATAAGTCGTTTACCCCGCTGTCGCCGCCTCGAGCATAGATTTCACGAGCGAATCCCAGAAGATATCCCCGAACCACGATCGAGGATGCCTCCGAATTGAACCACATTACACACCTACGGCAACGGAGAGCGCACGTCTCCGCCTTGGCATAAATTATACGAAACTTCAGTGGCTCTCAACGCACGACGAGCGACCACGGGATTGTTCATTGATAAAAAGAACAACGTGCGTACAACGGGGTTACGCGTTTGAACGTAATGAGCCCCGCGTTCCCGACAAAGGAGGGGCTCGAGTTTTCGAATTAAGTTTCGGATACCTCCGACGACTCGAGTCCGACAGGCGACTAAATTGTACTCGCATTGCTCGCGTAGCGCGCGACGCACTCCTAAACTAAGGGCGGAGCCACGCGAAAAGACACAGACAGTGACATCCACGAGAACAGGCAAGAACTCCGGCAATATATCTCCTCGGTGGTGCAGAGAAGGTATTTTCTCGGTAATAGAGGATCCATACAAAAATAGTTTTGTAAATCATCTGTAGATGGCTGGAGCGCTTACTACATATCGATTCTCGACGTTCATTTCAATGTGACAGAACCTCGTTCTACTTAAATCAACTTAAATTATTCGTGTCATCAAAATATTACGCAAAGATATTAATTCGAATCTTCGAAGCATGTACGAGTTACTCGTAGTCTCAGTGTATGTCTGTTGAACTCTTCCACTGTTTCCTTGTATAATTTTACGATGCACATCTGGCCATTTAACATCATTTTCGAGATGGTTCGATAGTATCGAGATTTTTTGGCAGGTCGAAAGAAAGATGTCCCTCGACGGTAGATTAGAATGTTATTAGTCATTGGGTGTCGTGTTTGTAAGTAAATATCAGCTGGATGCGTAGAGAAAGGCATAACGTGATTCCGTGACAGCGCGTAACGGATGTAACTGTTGAGCACACATCGGTCGAAGAATTTATCGATGAATATGGTCCTCTTCAACACCTCGCCTTTCGACGCTGACGTCGGTGAGTGGCAGATTTCTCCCTAGCCTTAATTCACTTAAGATGATTGTTCCGTCTCATGTTACTTTAACGGAACAAAACTGATGTCCATAGAACACTGACAAGTTTGACCCACTGTTTTAGTTGTATACGCATTCGATTTCGTCTTTCTGGTTTTACGCGACGTCGAACCTAATTTTGTCCACATTCGATGGATGTGTTAAGCGGTTGTTGACATTTGACCTCCAATTAAGACACCAGATTTTTCGAATTACTTCAGGCTTCATTTCATATCATTTGATATTCATTAGCTTTATCGTATACTGAAACATTCATGTAGATACTGTGAAATACTCGATTTGTTGAGACAATAGCAATCCTGAGGCTGCAAATTATTTTCCTCTTTTGAAGATCTTATTTATTTGCCTTACTGAATGTTTCTTATGAGCAAAAAACATTTTTAATAATATGATATTCATTTTCTCCAGTTCATGATAATCGGAGAAAAACAATATCTTGGAACCTGTTTAAAATACTACTTCACATTAGTCAATGTATGAGTCAACTGTATGATGTAGATAAGCATTATGTTGTGAAGTATCAATTGATACTTTGAAACTTAATCTTAAATCTCAAAACTTATCACGATCTTTTTTAATATTTTATTACAACAGAAAAGGCAACCAATGAGACAAGCATGTCCATAGAATGGGGAAAAATGCTGGACATTTGTGACAAAGTAGGAACCTCAACCCAAAATGCAAAGGATTGTCTACGATCAATTGTTAAAAGACTCTCCTCTCCAGATCCACACATCGTTATACAGGCATTAACAGTTAGTATACTACTAAGTTACTAACCAATTTTTATATGCGGAAGCTTAAATTATTCTGAGAAACAAATTTAATACTGATTTTTCCTTTAGTTGCTAGACGTGTGTGTCAATAACTGTGGAAAGATTTTCCATCTTGAGATTGCATCAAGAGATTTTGAGACCGATTTAAGAAAACTTGTTAACCATTCTGAGCCAAAGATTGCTGAGAAGATGAGGGAGCTCTTAAAGAAATGGGCAGAAAATGACTTTAAAACTGATCCTCAATTGAATTTAATTCCCAGTTTATATAATAAACTTAAAAATGAAGGTTACGATTTTACTTCTTCATCTGAAACGGTAAGCCTTCTTGATTTGAATTCACATAAAAGATCTCTGTCCGTTGCAACTCGTATGCGTGCAACCTATTATTTCAGTAGTAGCTAGATAAGACTATCACTTATTGACCTTTTCGCTGTGTTTTTCTTTGCAATCATTCATCAATCACATAGTTATTCCACTGAGTCATATGAGAATATTCATATAGACTTTAAACAAACTTTTTATACGTATCATTACTTTCATGGTGCATTATAATACGAAACATAATATAGTTATCATATATATTCAACGAAGTCATTCTAATTTTTAGCCTAGACGTACGACTGCGATAAGTAAGGATCCAAATGTAGTAACAAATTCACAAGAAGAAGAGGATATAATGAAAGGTACACGAAAAGTTATATTAATTACAAATAAAATTTTACATTGGATGGCATACATCGAAATTATAAGTAAATTATATTCATTTCTAGCTATAGAATTGTCGCTTAAAGAAAGTAAAGCTCATAGTCAAGCATCGTCTTCGCATAGTTCACCAGCGTCGAATAAGTATACCAGTTTATATCCTAATGTAAGTTCAGCGCTTGGTACATCGAGCAATTCGGAAGGCAGGAAGGTTCGTGCTTTGTACGACTTCGAGGCAGCAGAAGATAACGAATTAACATTTTTTGCAGGAGACATAAGTATGATATGGATTCCTTTATCAAATTTAATCTTAACGAGATAATGCAAATGAAAGGAATTATGCAATAATGAAATTACTATTATCGATTGATTTTTAGTTAACATTTTGGACGATTCTGATTCAAACTGGTGGAAAGGGAGCAATCAATCAGGAGAAGGACTGTTTCCCGCTAATTTTGTCACTGCGGATTTGTCTGTGGAGCCTGAGCAGTATACGAGTAAGAAAAAAGGCATTACGTTACAATTATTTCGTACTAACAGGGTTATCACATGAGTTTTTGTGCAGAATTAGAAAACAATAAGAAAATGGTTCAATTCGCCGAAGAAGTAGAAGTGAAAACTGTGAAGAGAGAGCCAGAAGTGATTGAAGTTGAAATAGACGAAAACAAAATGGACAGACTTTTACATTTATTGCACGAAGCGGATCCTCAGTGCGATACTTTAGATCCTCAAGAAATGATCGACTTAGAAGGTATTTATTGCATATTCTTAATGGGTATACTTACGACAAAATACTTCATAATGTCTTACAGAACAAGTTACTGCGATGGGACCGTTGATAGATGCAGCTTTAGAAAAGGTTGACAGAAGACACGCGCAACTAACTCAATTAAGTTCTGACTTGGTGGATGCACTTAACTTGTATCACACGTTGATGAGGGAACCACCGCCGCCTACACCATCGAACTACACCCTACCTAAGATGCCATCACATATAAATCCTTATCAGTTTCAAAATCAGGGACCACCACCTTCGCACGTAAGGATTTTACAAGTAGTAACTTTCATTTAATTCAGTATACTTACATGTATTAAATTGAAACAAAATGTTTTAATTTCTTGACAGATATTTAATGGGGTACCGCCACCGCATCAAACATCATTCCCTGTCGGAGGTGGTCCACCTGGGCCTTACAATACGGCTATTCCAACTAGTGACTATATGGGGCCTTCCAGCATGCCGAACATGACATTACCACATTTTCATGTGCAACCTGCCGGCCCACATCCGCATCCGCATTCGCATCCGCATCCTCCCGGACATCCTCAAGGTCCATCGGTGCCAGAGCACAGCAGCCTCCCTTATTCACATCAAGGGTATGTGTCAATATAAACAATACTGTAACATAAAAGTCATTTTGCTGCATCATCATTTGAAACTTAAACATGGAAATGACGTAAAACATTGTTTTTTTAATGAAAACAATTATTAAGTGAAGATAAAAATATAATATAGGATGTATGGTGATAAGTAGTTCTTTAAAGTAGATTATCTGTCTTAAAACTTTTGTCTTGGCATTCACAGCCATTTTTATACACATTCTTATATTAACTTAATTTCCAATTCAGTCTGCTGAGCTGTTTTCTAAATAAAATGTGATGTACAATAAAATAAACGAGTGTTTAATGGTAAAATAAAACGTGATAGTAAAGTAGTAAATGTGGAAGTACGCGTTTAACAAGATGGATTTCGTGATGTGCAACAGATATCCACCTCAGACTGGTCCTATGCCAGGACCGTACGGTCCTCCAGGGCCAACAGGACTCCCGGTAAGCCAACAACCTCAGTATGCTCCGCCAAACGGGCAGCACATGATGTAAAGGAATGCTATGTGTTATAAATTCATCCTGTACTGTAACTCAAGCTTCTATACTATATTATAATTATTTAAATAAACGTACCCGAAGTAGCCAAAGACACTGGGTTTTTGATGGAAGTTTTGCATTCGAAACTTATCGTGTATGAGCTTGTACGTTTAGGCACAAATACACGGGAAAGTGATCAAAAAAATGCATTAGACAAAAAATAATTTACTTTATTGACGTTCGACTACCGTTGATGTAATACATTTTTAAAAAAGAATATTAATCTTGTTTTTCAATTATCACATTCCTTTAACTTGATTAATATCTTATTATTTCATCTGGCGTATAAGATCTTGTAACAACAACAGACATTCGAATGTTACTTATACTCATGAAGTATCGCGGGAAAGGAAGAACGCGAAAACAGGATTTTATCTATTCAGCGATACTTTTAATTTTACGTCGAGACTATATCACGTAAAAAATCTATTATATTTGTTTATATAAACATACGTTGTATAAAGTTTGCCGTATATATTTTTAATAAGTTCTGAAACAAAATGAACTGCACTGTCGTTTAAAATGATTACAATCGTACACGTAACTATGTATACACGACAAATGGTGGAGACTGTCTCGATGGCACGACCGTATTTTATAGTTTTTTACTGTCATTCATTCATTCTTAGCGAATACGTAGTAACTGTAAAGGAGCCTTGATATAACATGAACGTTCGAATATGAAAATTCTTTTTTTCTCTTTAATGACAGGAAATAAATGGAAAGGAGAGACAGATGAATAGAATAGCTTTGGGGAAAAAAGCTACTCGAATTGAATATCGTCTCAAGTGAAATATTAATCATAAAGTTGACGAGTGATTATCGTGACAAGACATCTTAACTTGGTCTAGTCTGTCCATTGTGTATAATAAAAACTATTTCCTATTAATTGCTTATCGAGCGATCTGCGAGGAGCTTTTTATGACTTGTTAACGCATAATACTCGCATAGTTGCGTTTATACCGTCGTGAAGGCGACCCTGTCTGTGTTAAAAACAAGAATGCAAACAAACAAAAATATGCAAAAAGGAATCGATGATGATCGTATTCTTTTAAAATTACATTAAAATAAGATTTAAGAATTACGAGAAATTAGTATAAAAGCAGGACTCTCTCAAGGATTTCTTTAATAGGCCTTCGTTTATAAACTATTTATAAATGAAGTTCATATTTTCTAGTTTAAAAAATATTAGTAACATTTGAAAGGCACGAAAAATCTTAGTGGATCAACAAATCGTAATTATAATGTAAGATTTGTTGGCGGATACAAAAGCAAGGATTTATTAAAAAACGATAATAAGTCCGCTAATAAGTTACAAAGAAATAACTTCGCGTAACTCGAAACACTACCATAGTATGAATACTTTATACAAATCGATCGCAAATAAAAATTGATAAAGTTAGCAAAATTCTAGATCTAGAAATTAATAAATTTTGTATTCGTTTACGTACGTATAAATTTCTTATATATGTATTACGTAAGCTCTAACAATCAAGTGTGTATAATTCTGTATTCGAAATCTGTATATTAATTACTACATATTACGTATTTACTTGGTTCAGTGTAATTTATATTCTTTACGAACCGATTAGAATAACTAAATAGAATTATAATCTTCTGTGTATATTTTCAATTCAGTTTCTCTTTACGCTTTCTACTTTTCTTTTAGTTCTTTCTCGATAAGTAAATATTAAATATTCTGAACATACATCTAGATGAGAAAAGATTACTGACTTAAGGGGGCTGCGCTTTATGATCCTAGCCGAAAGTTAACCATTCGTTCAGAATAATGTATTAAAAGAGTCTTTAACTTTTTATGTTCGTCATACATTTCTAGTATTCGTATAATTGACAGTTGTACTTCATAGAAGTAAAACACGATCCTATGTAAAAAGCGTTTCTCCCTAAAAATTCCATAGGAATTATCAATTCAATATTCATTCACTACTTTAGATTTTAAAATTCCTTTGAAAGATAAACTGGGCAGCCCTCTTAATAGTTTGCTGAGAAGACAGGGCGCATTGATACGATAGTGCAATATACATATACAATATGCATACACGATACTTGACCGATCTAGGAGTTCAGAAAAGAAGGATATTAAATGCGTCGATATAATATGTAAAGAAGAACGTGTAAAAATAAGTCTAAAATCCCTTGTAAAGCAATGTCGGTAAAAAGAGTTAAGTCAGATACGGACGTAGTTGGGTAAGAAAAAAATCTGTCGAGACTGGAGCGAAATGTATTCTTGTGAATCGATTGTGTACTGTACTTTTGTATATGTACCTAAAAAAATTAGGAGAACAAAGTGAGAATGAGCGAGAGCGACAAAATAGACATGGAAAGTGAGATAAGAATAGGTCTTATACAAAAAAAGAAAAATAGATGTAATTTACACTGTATATGTTACGTTGCCATTAAACTATCATTATTTATGCTGAAGTTTTGTATTTCATCAAATATTTATCTATGTAATTGTTTATTGTATCGTTCGTTACTATACAGCTTGGTTTTATGGGTACATTAATGAATTTATGCAATCTACGCGAACCAGGATACCAGCGTGTGCATTAATAATTAATCGGGGAATTCTCATAATTGTTAATCTGGCTAAAGATCGGTAGAATAATGCGTAATCTTCCTTGGCAATGGCATTTCTTGGATGTACACTATGCAAAACAGCCTTGACATTAACGTTCTACTTCCTTCAGTTTTGAATCCGTTCTTCGAGTTTTATGCAATCATCAATGCCTTACAGCTTGCAATATCCCTAACAATTTTCATGGTACACCCTGTACATCATTATGCGACGTTATCGAAAATGGTTTGGTCACGTGTAGTCACGAGCGCGATTCCTTTACCGTGTTTCAGAGTTAAAATGCCAAGGGAAACTGAATTAGCATACATATTAAGATTCCCGAATAAATTTTCAGTTATTTCGTTCGCGTCTTTTTTAAATTTGATTCGCGCATGCATAAGTACGAAATAAAGAAAATTATAATAATCTCGCAAATAGGTAAAAAGAGATGTATCGACTAAAAGAATGAAGGATTGCGGGGAACGCTGTTAGAAGCCACCAACTCGTAATTTTTGTAATTATTTGTTGGCCTTGCGCGTTAGCCGCAGCTTCTACCCCGATATAGAAAACATGATCGCGACAATTGCCACATTCTTCCTCGCTATCAGTGCAGAAAAAGTGTCAGTGACAATCCAATGTTATACAATATTTTCCTTGGGATGATTATGTACCGAGTAAAATAAAAAAAGTCATAAATAATGCGCGTAAAAATTGGCGCGCGAATCGAGGGATGTTCGTAAAACGAACGAACTACTACGGCGAAGCTGATTTCCTGTGCTGCGATTCTTGTAATAGCTCGGCAGATTTTATTTATACACAATTAACGATGATCATAAAATATTTTCAAGGGAGATGAGGATTATTTTTTGTTGCCAGTCGAGTTTTTAATGAGAGATGATTTCATTTCCACGAAGCGTTCGCATGCGATATTCAAGGGCAATGAGATTTATTAAAAGCCGTAATGAAATCGCCAACTGTGTGATTCGTTATACCGAAGTAGCATCGTGTAAACTTGAATTATTCCAATCATAAATTACATAGATGTATACGGTTTCTTATAAACATACCGCGGATCGATACGAATCATTGTTACGTCGGAACGGGAATCTATCTTTAAAGAGATTGGGGAGGATGTAACGTCTAACATCGAGTTTGCAAGCACGTATCTCTCCTCCTATAAATAATAAAAAAAAATGCAACATATACCTTCAATTTTTAATCATGTTGCCAAACAATCGTTTGCAATGGGATATTTAAACGATAAGTTGAGTAAGAACTTGACAAGCAGCTTGTAAATTAGACAGGTAATGCTCGAGCGGATCACAAAGGTTCATAAAAGGAGAATACATCCTGGTATGCGGAGCATCCTTGATTCATGATTAACTGCGAACGTCTGACGAAACTGCAACGATGGATGAACTTACGGAATAGCGTTTAAGCACGGTGTCGTAATAGTCGTGAAGATTAAACGATTACTAGATCGATCTTGAACAATCTTCGGAGGATCGACGACCTTACAAAAAGGATACATCCACTTCTCTCGTTAGCCGTTTTCTTTACACAATAGACGTTCCGATAGGTCATTGATCAGTATAATTTGTATGAAAAGGATTACAGGATCTGGCATTTTTCATCTTGAGCCTCGCATTCTTACCTTTTAACGGCGAACAGATGTCTTACGACCGCGTTTCCGTGAACTGTACAGTATTCTGCAAGAGCTTAGTAGTTTACAGATTAATCGACGCTTATCTAATGTTGTTGTTTTTTAATTGCCCGCGATTGCGTAATGAACGAAAAAGCGAGTCCTTTTAAGGATCTCGGTTGAAAAGGAAACTCGCGTCCAGGACTTTCGTAACTTAGCGTATCCAGGCAGAGAATCGCGGCTATCGAGATGCATAGTAATTCACACCATTGTCTCGAGACAATGTTTATTGTTTTAGATACGCAACTTGACTACAATATTTCATTTTAAACAAGAAAAAACAGAGAATTCACGATATGTATTTAAAGATGTATAAGGTATACACTTAAACAACGCTGGCATGTTGAATTTGTTATTATAGATTCCTATTACTAGTAAAAAGCTAACTGCAAAATTTTAAATAATTCATGGGTTTTTTGAAAAATTATAGTGACTTAAAATTTGCATGTACTCTTATGGCAATCAGCAATAAGCCAAAGAAAACTTTCTGGTATGTG